TTTTAATTACAATAGTACGCTAATCTTAAATTTAGAATTCAATCGTGTATAACCCTAATTACATCTAAGACCAGCATTAACAAATTCAAGCATTTAACGGCAATAAACTTGCAATTCCCCTATTAATGTTTTAATTTCATATACTAAATTTGCAAGAATATTAGAGGCTGCGTCAGAATTGATGAACAAAGACGTATCTGATCTATGCACATAATGATTAGCCTCTTCAGGTTCAAATCCATGTCCTTAATTTCTGTATTTGGCAAAGGATTTTTGACCAATTTACGAACTTTTTTATTGCTACATAATTGGGGTTAATCAACTGAATTTGATGCCTGAGAAGAAACAGATTCGAATTGTTCCTTTCCTTACATTATCAGATGGGGACTGATACTGGATTTCTACCAACCTTTTCGAACTTTTGACCATATACATGTATTTAGAGGAGGGTTCATTGTTCACGACAAATCATTAAACTAACAACTAAATCCAGTTAAGCAATTTGATTTAATTTATTTTGGTTCTTAAAAAAAGTTCGGTTTGTAATTTTTATGAAATAACTGTTTACAGTTTGGTTTCAATTTTAATTTCCTTTTAGTTAATTAATATTTTCTAAAAAAAATGGATTGTCTAAATAAAAAATAACCAAGATCCTTAATCAGCATTTGTGTTAGAATTCTTATTCGGTATTTACATCTTTTGTTAAAATAAAAAATACCGTATAAATACATATATCACATTCCATTAGAGGCAATTTCTAATATTCTTCCATCTTTACTTCTATCACTTCCTATCTTTTGAATTTGAGTAGAAATAAATAGAAAATACATGCAACTTCCAACTTCTACATGATACATTCAAAATACCAAGGCAATATATTTGGTTTTATACCAGAAAAAGAAAAGGCTATGTATTTGGGTTGACCCTATGAGGTTGGTCCATGGGTCCCATAATTGTCCAAATTTCAATTCCTAACATTACAAATAAAGAAGATCTATATAAAAATTTCTTATAGTTTAGGACCATTCATTTTCATAAAAGAAACCATCATCTACATTAATTGTACCCTTGCTTTATCATAATAATAACATTTCCTTAATGACACAAAAAAGTTTGGTTTGAGTCATTTCCAATTAGGAGCAAATAGAAATAGTGACATCATTTTTGAGTTTTTTAGTCCCACTAATCCATAAGATGAAGAGAACGTACATGGGTAGCTTTCAAATCTCTACTTAAAAAATTAAAGTGGCATACTCTATAGTTAACCTACATTTTGATGACTTAGGTGTGCATTTTCTCCCCTAGAACCTAGTTTTTTACTGTCATGTCTTGTACTAACAGGACATAAACCAACCCTTCAACAGCAAGCTCCTTACAGTTTTGATAATTAGGAATCTGATGCTTAGTGGTCACAAATCATAGTGATTATCTCTTCTCTTTTTTTTTTTCAGGGAAATATATATTAGTAGTTAGTAGTATTAGTATTCTGCTGTGGATAATAATCCGGTTCATGGATATTTCTGATTTAGTAAATGTTGATATTTGTATATAGGGATTGATTTGTTTAAATTCAATCTGTGCATTCACTTATGAACTAAACTAATAAAGATAATTTTTTTTATTGCAATGAGTATATTTTTGACGTTCATTGAAAAAAAATATAAAGTCATAAATTATTTAGAAAAGATTTTTTAACCAGCGGCATTTGTTTGAGTGAAAAAAAACTTAAATTCTTTGAACAAAATATCAAGTGTCTAAGAAAATTTCCACTGAAAGTACTCTCTGCGTATAGGCGTAACACACGGAGAGCATGATTAGACTTTAGCCCACTGAATTAGGGGCATTTATGGTATTAAAAAATATTATTTCCCAATGCATAAATCGGTACTCACACTGCTAAGTGTCTATTCGATAATTTTAATTTTTTTTAGTAGTTAGCTGTTTTAATGTCTGTCAGTTATTTATTAGTGGTTAACTATTTATATAACGATTTAGAATAAAGTATTCGATACAAATAAATGTTTGATTAATTGTTCAATATAAAACGACAAAAAGGGTACGTAAGCAGGAAACAGAATAAAGACAAGTGATGGGTATAAATGTCATAAAAAATTATAAAACGCTAAACGTTTCCAAATATAACGTTGAAATACTGTTTCAAACTCTAAATGTTAAAATAAATATTGTATTACCGAATGTTAAAATTAATTAAGATAGTATTTTAACCTAATCAAAACACTAAATACTATTTGAAACACTATTGCCAAACATGGTCTAAATATAGAAAAAGATCCTCCTTTAAACCCTTCTCTATAAAGGCGTGAGTGATTTACCATAATAGGATGATAATTTTTTTTTTTTTTTTGGAGAAAACAATGCTTTAACTTGTATAAGATTCCACATTTTTGTGAGGGACACCTTTCAATTTAGTTTAATTATTGAATTTCATCACGTATTATATGGAGCATATTTAAATTATGATAATTTTTTTAAGTTTCTGAAACTACCAAATTAATAGAATAATTATTGATGGTGAACTAAATAAAAATATATTTCTTCATTAAATTTTGTTACTTTTGTAGTTTATTTAATATATTTTAAAAAAAAAAATTCTGCAATTACTTATTCATTCTATTCCAAAATATAAAAGTAATAAATAATTTTTTTATTTTACTCTTATTTATATTAGATATAAAATAATAATATTAAATAGGTGTAATATAAAAGATGATTTGATCGAATTAGCATTAATTCTGTTCTAATTTTAGAAAATTAATTATTTTTTAAATTTTTGAGAAAAATTTTAAACACACTTAATTAGGTAAAATCGTTATAATAAACTTGTTATAATAATATTTTATTTCATGATAATTAGGTAAACAACCTCCTAAACATTAGTATAGCACATCCTTCTTTGCTTCTTTTTAACTCAATAATAATTATTAGATTCTACATTTCCTAATAAGAAGTAGGGATAAATCCAAGACAATACTATAAATATATATGATACGTGTCCGAATTTCCCCTTTGGTCGTTAGTTAACAAATGATGAATGGTCACCAAGCTTTACACGTCTAGTCTACTCCTCTCCTGCGCGCATTCCCATGTGCTAAATTTTCTATTACGTCAGTTCCCATGAAAAATTGTGTCACACGTGGCACTCTCAGGGCCCACCAGATTTTTTTTGACCCGTTCCTTATTATTATTTTTTTTTAATGAATTACCCTCTCACGTGTTAGTCCACGTGCACTCACACATCATCTGTTAGAAATTCTAGAGACCAGAAAGTGAATCTTGATCTTTGGCTGAGACGTAATCTTTAATCTCAAGAAAGTATAACAAAAAGTTTTTTAATGGTACGTTTTACATTGTTAAATTAGTACTGGGATCTTAAAAAATTATTTACATAAAGAGGGGGTAATAAAATTATTTATAAAAATAGAGTAAAATTGACTTTTTACTTTCACTGTTATAATTATAATGTAATAAGGCCATTATTACGGTCTGATTATAATAAAAAATATCGTATATCAAATATAAATAAATATTTTTCTAAATATATATAAAATTTAGCAATAGATTGCAATTCGAATTCCTTTCTCAACACTATAAAGAAATTTTTATAGTGGCACATTCTAGTTTGCCAAAAGCAAAAACGAAGTGGAATTTTGTATACAAAAGCAAAGTTGATAACTTGTTAAATTGTGCTTGTAAGGAATGAAAATAAAGTTCAAGATAAGGTCAAAAGAATGTCTTTCAAAATAAACCTATACACAAGGAACCTTCCTTCAATGTATTGGGACCTCAGACAATGGGCAGTATTATAGACAGAACTTGGCAATTTTTTATGGTGCGGGCGGTACCAAATAACACAAAATATCAAAACAATGGAAACATGCAACACGTTTTTATTTTCCATCACAGCGATATACATTTTCCGGCGTACCAATAGCTTTGGCACACGTGTTTTCGAACTAAGGAGTCGGCATGCCAAAGCATTACAAATTTTGGCGGAACCGATGGATGTAAATGTGATTGTAATGATCTTTTAAGAAAATGAGTTTTTACCATTAAAAATTTTAAAAATGTGTTGGAAGCAAAGTAAATATGTACATTATTCATAAATTTTTATTTATAACAGGTTGTAACTGCAATGTCATTTTTATAAATTAAAATTCGTTTTAAAATTCGTCTGAAAATTAAGTTCATAATTTCATTGATTAGATACATAAATTTATCTCTAAAATTTACAATTTTAATATTATGATATGTACTTGAATTTAAAAATTTTGATAATATTATACATTTTTTAACTGTAATATCAATAATTTTTAAAAATTTTTACTTTTATTTATGAAATATTGACTTGATATATATTTAATATTAACTTTTAGAATAATAATTTTTATAAATTTCACTTTTTAATAAATGTTTAATTTATCTAATTTTTCAAATTAAGATGTTTAATAAAATACTTTTGAAAATTGAAATATTAATAAATATAATTTATAAATTAAAAATATATAATAAATTAAAATAAAAATTAAAAATATCACAAGATTAAAATAATAAAATATAAAAGGATAAATTTATTTGCTAGGCCCAATTTCATCATCCGAAGATCATTGCAAAGTCTTACAAATAGACTCTTCTAAAAAGAAGAGAAAAAAAGTCTTATCAATATATGAATTGAAATAAAGAAACATGTCTCTCAAAACATCCTGTTTTTGGCTTTGTTTTAACAAGTTGGAGATATTTTTGAAATACCATCTTTGACTCATCCACCTAAATTCCACTTCCAAACATAGATAATAACAGAAAATTCAAGAACCAAAATATTTATTCTCACATGCAACTCTCTTCAATCTACAAATCAAATGGAGTTGGGTGGGTTTAGGTCTACTCGATGCCCACAGATTAAGACACTTTAAACTATAGCAGCCACAAAGCACAGGTTATAAATGTAAAAACACTAATTTAAGATTAGCTTAATCCTAAAAGATAATCATCAAAGAGGTTAATATGATAAAATAAAAAATTAAATTAAGAAGCATAGAGCAGACAGCTCTGTCTGGTTTCTAACATCACTTGTTCAAAATTAAAAAAAACAAAACAAAAAAAAAAAAAAGAAAAAAAAAGAGAATTTAACATCAAATCTTTAAGAAGGGAAGAACAATTTACCTATAAAATTCCAAAATGTTCTGTTCTTTGTTCTGAAGATTTATACCATTTATGATCTGCCTCTGTTCCTTCTCTCTTTATATAACAAAAGTATTTTTTTTTTTTTAAAAAAAGCAACAATAAAAATAAAATAACCAAATGATACATGCAAATACAGAGTGGAAAAATTATAAAAATAAGAAAAAAATATACTGAATTTTTAAAAAATAAAAAAAAAACAAAATATTATTTTAAAAAAATTGTGTAATCAATTAGTTTTAACTGGAAGAGGAAGGGTAGTGGCTAGAATCTGACCACGGCGGCACCGGAATATCAGAACCGGTAGGCTGATTCTGATTCTGTGGTGACCGGAAATAACCCAATTGCTGACCAGGCAAAAGCGGAGGAAATGAAGCAGAGGAAGATGTAGAAGACGATCCAGAGGAAGATGCTGCTGCTAAAAATGGAGGAGCTGATGTAGATGACAATTGAGAAAAAGAAAAATTCTGCTGTAAAGAAGCCAATTGTTGATTATAAAACATCTGCTCTAACAAACTCGAAGGTTGAACATGAAAATCACCGGTACTCTGTAAAAGCTGTGAATATTCCCAGTAATCTCTTATATTATCGCCTTGAAAGTGAAAATATGGCGGCGCTGGAGCCGGCGCCGTTTGCTGCGGCGGAGTTGGTTGTGGCTGATGTGAATAGGGAACGGCAACGGTTTGTATTGGAGGTGGTGGTAACACTCTAACATGTTCAGGGAAGTTCAATTTTGCTCTGTTTCCTCTAAATTTTAAAGCGGCTTCATCGTAAGCTCTCGCCGCAGCCTCCGCGGTGTCGAATGTGCCAAGCCAAACTCTTGCCGCCTTATGAGGATCGCGAATTTCCGCTGCCCATTTTCCCCATGGTCTTTGCCTAACTCCTCTGTATCTTCTTCTTCTCTCGCCGGTTTCTTCGTAAGAAACTGTTTCAGTTGATGATGTTGGTGGTGCGGTCCCGGTTGTGGTGGCGGTGGCGGTTCCGGTGGGTGGGGTCGGGATTATTACTGAAGCGGCTGCCTCTTCCGTAACTGTAAATGGTAAAAATTAATTAAAAATAAAAATTACATTAATCTGCTTTAAAGCGGTGATTTAAAATTTAAAAACTGTTGCATTGCTCATTTCGAGATGACTGCAAATATTTTGATGCCTTCGTAAAGCTGACAATTTCAGGCCTTTGATTCTTAATGAAAAGATAATATTGCAATACATGCAATATTAGACAACATATAAATTACTATAAAAACAAAATAATAAAATAAAATTACTATATATTACAAAATTAATTATTAATTAATAATCCTAGAGTTTATCTAACGAACTAAAATGGGATGTCATAGAGGATTGATAATCCATGTATAGTTTTTTTTTTTTTTTGTTTTTGAGAGGATAATCCACAGTTTATGATAAAGAAAATAAATTGAGTTAAATGGAAAATTAGCTAAAATGAAATTACTAACCAGGAGTTGCACTAGAAGAAGATGAATCTCCTTGAGAAATTCTAAAATCACCAAACCCTCTATAAACCCTTGGAACAGACTCAATTAATTGAGTTGCACTTCCTTCTTCTTCTTCGCGGCTCCTCTTTTGTCCAATCCAGAAACCCGAACTACCAGAACCAGACGAATAAGTTGACAAAGAAGAAGACGTTGAACTATAATCAGTAGTAGAAGTATAACCTGGAGTAATTGCACTTCCAAAACTACCAACTCCATATGATGATCCCAAATCACCGCGGCCGCTGCCACCAGCAGCAGCAGCACCACCACCATCACCACCGCCGCCAACTCTTTGTCCCGATACAACATGAGTTAGGGCAGAAACCATTGCAGATATCTCCCTTGGACTTCCATAACCTGCAGCTGGCAACATAGTAGTTGACGTTGTTGGTAACGATTGTGTAATCACCCCTTCCCTTATTATTGGTTGATTACTCAATAATAATGATTGTGAAGGCAAAACAATTCGTGGGTGGCTTTCTTCTTCTTGATTATCATCTCTGCCGCCGCCATCAACACCACCTCTAGGGTATCTTATTGTGTACTCACCTGAGCCTTTCTGGTTCGCCACCTTTAAATTCAACAAGCACATGTAATAACAAAGTTGTTTTCTTTCTTCTTTCCTTTTCTTTTTTCTTGTATTATTTTTTTTTTTGTCGGATGCAAAATTAGAGTACCCTTTGAAAGATATGTGAAGGAATATTAGGGTTTATATATGGTGATAGAGAATTCAAGCTTTATCAGCCGCCATTAAAACAGTAGACTCTCTCTCTCTCTCTCTCTCTCTCTCTCTTTCCTTCTTGCTTTGTTTTTTATATCACTTGTTGCCGCACCGAGTACTGCACCTACATGATAAATATGATCTTCTCTTTTTTTTTTTTTTTTTAATTTTCTCCCCTGCCGCCTTTCTGGTTCGCCCCCTTTCCCTTCCCCAAGCACTGTACTCCCCCGTTTGTTTTCTTTCTTCTTTCCTTTTTCTTTTTCTTGTCTTTCTTTTTTTTTTGTCGGATGCCCCCTTTCGCGTCCCCTTTGCCCGCTCTGTGCCGGCCTCTTCGGAGTTCTCTTCTGCGTGCTAGCGCCTTCCCGCTTCTCCCCGCCCCTTCCCCAGTTCGCCTCCTCTCTCTCTCTCCCAGTCTCTCTCTCGTCTCTTCCTTCTTGCTTTGTTTTTCTATCCCTTGTTGCCGCCGCCGCGTCCTGCCCCCTCCATGCTCCTATGCTCTTCTCTTTTTTTTTTTCTTTTTTCCTTTTTCTCCTGGTTGGCGCCGGGTTTGGCTCCGCACCCCGGCGGTTTTTTTTTTTTTTTTTTAATTTTTTATTAATGGGTTGGAGAAGGTTGATAAGCAAAAAGGAGGGTTTTGTTTTAAATTTTGGGTTTTTTTTTTTAAATTTTTTATTAAAGGTGTGACAATACGTTCACACCAGAAAATTTGACTGACATTAAGATGGTATGGAACTTATGTCGGTGATTTTCAAGAGTTTCTGTTGAAATTGAGTTTGTGCGACTCATTAAGGTTGCTTTGTAACCTTTTGGGCTTCAGATAAAATAAAAGTATATCCTATTAGCCCATTATTAGTAAATGGGCTATTAGATAATTGAACAGTAACTTGGGCTCTCAGACGGTAATTCTTTTTTTTTCCGTAAATTAAACTCCTTAATCGTACGGTCGAATATATTTTTACCACTCGAACCACTTTTTATGGATGGAGATACTTGAAGAATAAGTTAGATTAATGACAACTTGATTTATATTAATGTCATGGTGTTGTATTTTGACTTTTCTTTTCTATTTTTTCCTACCTTTGAACACTATTAATCGAATAAAATAATGTCTACTGAATTGTGGAGAATTTTTTAATTGATTCGAATTTCGTAGAGTGCATCGAAAAATCTTCTTAGGAGTTTCAGAAAAATATTAAGGTTATATTTGATAAGCAGTAATAATATATAACCAAGTCATTATATTACATTACAGCTTAATGTCGTTGTATTACATTATATTATATAATATTAATTTTAATTATATTACGTTGAAAGTCCATTATGGTTCACTAATTATAATTATTTTAGAAATCTTGAGTTATTAGTCTAAAAGGTGTTTTTGATATTATAAAACATCAAAAAGGTGTTTTATACCTTTCTCATGCTTGACTGTTTGATTCAAATTTTTTATATTAAAAATCTATTAATATCGTGCAAAAATCAACCTATATATTATTATTATTATTATTATTATTATTTATTTGGTCCTGCAATGAAATTGAAAGTCATTGCATTGCCATTAATTGAAATTGTAGGTTTACATATACACATTATTTATCCATTAAAATATTGTTTGGTATACCATCTGTACGGTCAAAGCACGTCTCTGATCTGACGTGGACCATTTGGTGGGGAACCCAATAGTATTAAACTATAACAAAATTAAAATAATAATAATAATAATAATAAAAAAGAAATGGAATCGTGCAATTTGAGGCAGACAGTATACATTTCGTTGCAATTTGGTTCAAAAGCATTCTAGGTTTAGGGCCCTGTAATTCTTCGTATTAAGTAAAGAATTTTAATGTTTAGGAGCGACAATTGCATAGCATCTAGTATTATTTTTTACATAAATATACAAATCTTAATCTAATTACTCCACAATTAAATTATTAATCAAATCATTTTCTGTTAATTTGATTGACTAGGACTTTAGTCAAATTTTTAAAGAGGTCTTATTTGTTCGAATCTATTTTTTATAATATTCATAAGATGAGAAAAATAATTACAACAATCAATTAAAACGTTGAATTGTTGGTGACACTTTCCATATTGATCTGTTGAGCTAAGTTAATTATTTTAATAGTTATTAGATGTTAGATGTTTAATTAACATTTCATATACATTAAAAGATATAAATCATAATTTATTCTCTCAAATTCAAAATATTAGTATAAATATTATGTTATCAAATACTATAAATAATAATATAAACGTTATTTATAAACATTATGAAACTTTCATTCAGTCAATAATTATTTGAATTAGAGACAATAATTATACAGCTAAAAGCCTGTAACCCTCAAATCAAAATTTTTTTATAGGCTCTATTTGTTTTCAGAAAATAAGGAAAAAAATTTTTTTAAAAAATATTTTTTAAATGACTTATTTTCTATTATTTATATGCAATATTGAAATATTAATTAAAAATATTAAAAATTTTAAAATATAAGACCATAAAAATGTATATAATAATAGAAATTTTGTAATTAAAAAGTTTTATTATTAAATATGAGAAAAAATAAAAAAAATATGAAAATTGCTGGTGATTGATGGTAGCTGACGATAGCTGCTGATAGCCAATGGTGGTGGTTGGTGACGAAAGGTGATTAGTGGTAGTGACTATTTGTGATTAATACTTAATATTTTATAAAAAGTTTATTAATTTCAAAAAAATGTTCTCCTCTCTTAAAAATAATAAGTCATTTTCTTTAAAAATTACTTGATTTTTCTTTAATCAGAAAATATTTGCTTTAACTTATTTTCTTAAATGTCCCAAGTGATAAAATTTATAGAAAATATTTTTTTATAAATTATTTCACCGAAATATACGACCTCAATGTAAAGAAATTTTGAATAAAATATATTTTAGTTTAGCTTCCACATAAAAAAAATATATATATATATTATATATATATTTTTGGCTCCTAAATTTTTTAGTTGAGTCTAGCCTGATCCGAATGTAGTGGGTTGACTGGATCCATTTTATCTCTATCTTCATTAAGTATCAATTGCCTTCGGTTAAGGCTGGTCCAATGACTCATTGTTACCAGTTTACGATTAACCAAAATGTCTAAATCAGTTCAATTACTTGAACCAAATGATACGGTTTGGTTGATCTAACAAATTGCTTCAACTTTAACAGAACCCATTTGGCAATTTGGGTAATAAGTTTGGTTCAACTTTTTAACAAGTGGTTTGTTAGCTCAATCCCCTTTATTTATAATTCGGTGGAGATTGTCTTTTTATTATTGTGAGTTTGATGTTGCCTCGTTAGATTTATATGGGACCCACTGAATTATTATATGATATACATGGGTGAATTTATTAAAAAAGAAAAAAAAAAAACTCAAGGAATTTAATGTCAACTTGGTCTATTGTTCAACTCGTAAATAAACACGTGGACTTCAGTAGGTGCAGCTCTGTAGGATTGTGATGTGTGGTGTTTTGTAATTTGTAGGGTGGGCCCTTATTAGTGACCTACAAATAGACCCCTATTATGCCTCAAAACGTCTACATTGCTTAGGATGAATGATACTATTTTGTTTTTATTTATTTATTTTTTGAAATTAACTTGGTCTTAAATTGTGATTTGCTTTGATAGTGACTTGTATTTCCATGTCCCTAGTATTAGGGTACTACTTTTCCTTTCATTTTTTTTGGAAAAAGAATAAATTGTCGTGTTAATTACAGTGAAGATTTTTATTTTTAAGAATTAAATATAAAATTTTTGTCGATTAAATGTAGTCTAATTGAATTTTCTATCTTTTATAAAAGATATAGAAAATGAGAAATTTCGAATTCGAGTACTCTCTATTATAAAGTTTATCACCAATTTAATGAATATTATTTAAAAATGAGGCTTTTCTTTCTGTGCAACTCACAATATTATTCTAGTCTATTGCGTTTTTATATATAAAAAAAAACTATAAAGCTTATAATTTAAGATTTGTTTGCCATGTTGGTCCCTAAATTATAGTTAAATAAACTATAATATTCTGTATTTATTATTTCCATTATCAATTTAATTCATTTATGATTTTCGTTAAAACTTTGATTTTTTTATTTAAAAAAAATGACCAAAATGTTAATAATGTCATAATTTAAAGACCTTACAGATAGTTTTTAAAATAAATGGCATTATATTAATTTAACTATAACTAAAGAACCTATTTATATTTTTTTCTTGCTTTCTTAATAAATTAGTTAGTCTAGAGTAAATAATTTATTTTTAGTTAAATTAAAGGTATAAGTTTATATATAAATTTATTATTAATATTAATGTGATATTAAAAAAAAAATTTACAAATCAAATGAGTCTGAATTAGGGATATTCCACTGTTGTAGTTTAAACTGAATAGAGCTAGTGGAAATCAAAATAATGAAAATTTAAGATGAGAATATAATCTATTAGTGTAGAGAACAAAACTGAACTCGATTTTTAACTATACTTTGAGCGGATTTACGCAAATTTAGACTTAAAAAGAAAAATCAAACTAAATAGTAAAATTGGATATTTCTTTTTTTTTTTTTATCTAAATTACCGGTATCAAACCCTATTATCAGGGACCACCTAATTTTACTCGGGACTTAATCATAAGTAAGGCTTCTCTCTCCTTCCTGAAATGCGTTTAGCGAGGATCGAACTAAAAAACTCTTTCCACATGTTCAGCTTCTATTGCCAACTGAACTCCAAACTGTAAGTTGAAATTTGATATTTCTATTAAAACTGAAATCAAATTAATATATTATAAACTGAATCGAATCAAATTGATTTGATTTGATTTGATTTGCTTTGCTTTGGTTATTTCTATCAATTTTAAGTTTAATTTGTATCCTTGATTAAAAAATAATTGTAAAAATCTCATACATAGTTCCTTTAGAATGTGAAACTAAAAGTAACTTGTTACCTAACAAGATACTTAGTTAATACCTCAGAGTTTATTTATGAAAAGCGAACTAGTGAAAAATTAAGGTGAGAGAGAGGATCATCCTGCCTTAATCTTCTATTGGAGAAGGTCAATCCAAATGGTTAGAGCCACAAAGTATTTGAGGATGATACATATAA